TTATTTTCTTATGCTTACCTGCAAGTAGCATGAATAACTGTCCCATCTTTGGTTTAAGATTGATAGCAGCACTCAGAAAATGAAACGCCGACGCATACTGCTGCATTGTTAGATGAACTAAACCGAGATTGTACAGTATTTTCCAGTCAAACGGAGCTAGATAATTGGCACGTTTCAAACAACTGATAGCCTGAAAAGATTTTGTATTTAAAAATAAATATCATTAAAATCATTTATTCATTCTTTTATGTACAGAATCAAATTAAATATATACAGTCAACAATAAAATAAAATTTAGCCTGTGTTCAGTTATTTCTCATATGCAATCAGAAGACAGATACATCAAATCAGTAAGTGTTTATATCACCTCAAGCATAGAACTGGTAGGTGATCAAGTCTAATCTTCAAGTGAATATAATATGTAACACTGAAATGGTGAAACCAAGTTTGAAACTATAGAGCAAATGATAATTCACAAACATTTTAGACTGTACTTATCAGCAACTGGTTTTACTCCTCCAAGACTAGCTCTGTTCAATTTAAAAGGTTTTTCAGCGACAACTTTAGATGATACTCAAAAGTAAACACTGTACACAGTGTAGGTTGATGTAATTCAGTACTGCCCGAGTGCATACATTGCGTATATCATAATACACTTTGCTTTCACCTGCGTGTTGTAATACTTGAGCGACAGAGAACAGCACAAAATGCCAGCGGGAGACGCTTCAGGAAATTTGTTCCTGTATGACTGTTTGGGATAGTATTTCATTTCTGACTTATGGTGTATTGCTGTTGTATCTGATGTTCATATGAGACGTAAATGATCTTCAATGCACTTAATATTGGTGATGTAGTTTACAGGTTTCAAAAACACAAAGATGTTTTTTTACGAAACCATAAATTCTATTGTTTTCAGTGCTAGATGATTACGATCCTTGGAATGTGTCACCAGAGACAGCTACTTTAATAGGGTGTCGGTCGTGTAGATGCAGGTTCACTTTATCCCACACTGTCTTAGTACTCTAATATTCATGACTACATGTACTTACTGCCACATATTTCTTCTTTCCAAAAAAACACATGCCAATATTATTCCAGAGTGGAGGACTTTCCGGCACAGCAGCCGCAGCAATCCTGTATTTGGTTAAAGCAACTTCAAAGTCACCGTGTTGCTGCATCATGCATCCGGCTGCTAATATAGCCTATAACGAGAGTATAATCAAAATTGTACACTGTAAACTGTTTCAATTCCGCAGGAGACAAATTTCTATTGAATCCTTGAAAAATGATGAAACTTTATAGCAGTGAACATTTGAATTCAAGTTCCTTAAACTATAAGCCTACTTATGATTTCAAAAACCCAAAATTTATTCATTTTCAAATATAAGAATATTGGGGGTCACCAGCTTAATTTTTTAAGAAAATGATGGTTGTATTTATAGTGGATAGTGGCCATTTTGGCTATATTATACTGCTTTTATCATAGGTTCTTAGGCTGATGACATAGGCTGAAAAATTATATACTTTTTGTTGTTTAAAAAATCTTGGTTTTAAAAAGTGTCAAAAATTGCTATTTTCATTGTGCTCTAAAAAATAGTTCTAAAAATAGCACAAGGTTTTACAAAATACGTCACTATAGCACACAAAAGAATGCTAGATTATCCATGGTGCCATGAAACAATAGCCTCATGATTTTGCACAATTAACCAATGAACATTGTTATGATATTTATGACCAAAAATCTATGAGTAGCCTTCCGCAGTGAATTTGGAGGCAATTTGTCGACAGTCATCTCATGTTGCAAATTTAATACAGAATTTTCTCTATTATATGTGCTAGTGTGTAGATGTTAAATTGTCACCACAAGTCATGCAAGTAGTGAACCATGTATAATTAATAAGGTGCAGTTGATAGAACAAACTAATATGGTTTGGGACCTTACAACAATTGATCTAAAAGTTTACATATCTCTGACATAGCAGCTTGAATATTGATGTCTCAAAGCAGACAAAAGTGAAACTCCAAAACAAATAAAAGAAGAACAAGTACTAGAAAAGTACACAAAGTTTAATATCCAGACTAGTTTGGTAAGTATGGGTAAATTATGAAAAAATATTAAAATATAAATAATTTCAGGTGATATCAGGTGTTGGTCATTGATATGTTAATTATTTTGATTGTAACATATGCAAATTATATAATATTATTATGCAAATTAGGCACCATGCTTTAGACATTTACCTGGTGACTACATTGATATAATAACAGAATTTCATACCTTTACATTGGAAGGATCATAGGTTAAGGCATTTCCAAGGTGTTCAAAAGCTTTCTGAGTTTGTCCAATCTGTATTAAAGGAACGAGATGAATTTCATGGTAAAATAATTTGCATTCAAACACTTTAAATCACTGATACTAGGTACCCCATAATACATGTAAGTAAATTGAAATAATTTTTTTTGAAGATAAAATTGACACACTGAATATAAAAGTATTGTATGTAGTATGTAGTACGGCAACATAATGTCTAAACCAACAATGCATAACCAAGCTGATCTCAATATAGAATCCCAAAAACATATGTCAACTTAATAAAAATAAAATTCTAGTTTTAGGCAAGGGTTCTCCGAACCCGCCTATTCACATAGTTCATACCCACCATAGACTCTGGTCAGCAAAATGACTATTTTGAACTGTAGGCAGAGTCAGACGCCGATAGGTGGCGGGATTTTCCGAGCCAACAGAAAAAATGATGAAAGTCTTTTCCCAAACAAACTCAACACCCTAGTTAAGACCCAAAAAAGGGTGGTGTCTTACCTTGCCTGTGCTGTCCCGAGAGCAAGAAGCCAAAATGCTGCTATGGTGACAGGGTTCGGTGTGCCCGAGAAAGCTAGACCCCAACCCAATTCTGGGGGGTAGTAAGCTTTCGAAGTAAAGACCGAAACAGTTCTGCATGAGGGCAAGCGGGACCTGGGAGCTCCCAGGGGAGTGCTGATGGTAGAGAAATCTGTCCGCATATAATGCCGGACTGACTTATTGCCTATGCGCAGGGACCCTAGCGGTCGTTCGGGCTGGGTCAGCAAACCAAGACTGACCCGCTACGACGGGACCCAACCTAGAGAGACCCTTTTCAATGGATTTGGAGTCTCTTAGGTGGTAGTTGATAAAGACGTTCTGCATTCTCCAGAAGCCTGCCCTCCATGTGTGCTCGGGGGGAGGGGGGGGCTGACGCTAGCACTAGCGAGTTAGCAATCGCACAGACCTCGTGTGCTCGTACTTGGTGTCTCTGCAAGCTCTGTGTCGAGGAATTTAAAGTATTAACCTCTAATACAGTCACAGTAAACCACCTGGTTATGGATGTTGGAGAGGCCGGCCTATACTGCCTGGGCCATAACACAAACATATATGCCTGGCACCCCATTCCAAATCCTTAGTACTGTTTGGTGGCAACTCCGTGCTCGAACCGGGTAGAGAAGCAATTCCTCCTGACCCTCCGAGCAGACAAAATTTGACAGCCGGGGGATGACGATCGGGTGAGGATCGTGTCCTGGGATTTGGTTCTAGGCGAGAAACCCGATTTGTGTCTTTAGCACAACTTGATTGTCCATAACGGCGGTCCATCATCCGAGAAGGACAATGCCCCCCAGCTCTGGCCGACGCCTACCTGAGGCGAGGGCCAGTAGGAAGACTATTTTCCACGTCAAAAATTTGAGTGGTGCTGATTGGAGAGGCTCAAAGGGTGGTCTGATTAGAGCAGACAACACAGCTGATGAGTCCCAGTTGGGCGGCTCCCTTGTATGGGGTCTTGGCGTCCGGAAAGCAGTAAATAGTCTCCTAATAATAGGACAATCGGCTAGTCTTGTTCCAGTACGTTTTGAGTGGTGGGGGACAAGACCGACCTGTATCCAACGATCGCTGCATAGGACAAACCCACTTCGTCAAACAGGTGGACGAAGGGGCCTGCTACCTGGCCAATAGAGGGATGGTATGGATCAACCTCCCTTCCGCTACACCAGTGTATGCTCGCAGACTAGAAATGTAGGCCGCGTTGATGGAATCCCTGTTCTCCCTGGCCAGGATGTTGGCAGCCCGCTCAGATAAGGCTTTCGTATGTGCGGGTCTACTGAGAGCCTCTATGTGTGTAAATGATACCTGCTGGGCTCGTTGGTAGTGCGTCGTCTGGTTGGGACGGCCATTCCGGTAAGTCCGGAAGCACTACTGGTGTTTCGACTAGCATTTCCAACAGAAGTGGAAACTAGGCCTTGCTTGGCCATTTGGGTGCAACCCATGATAATATGCGGGTGTGCACCTGTCGAAGATTTCTCTGGTGCCCGGTGAACTAGCGGGAAGGGAGGAAAGGCGTACACAACTAAATGGGTCCACGGGGTTAGCAAAGCGACTCTGGCCCAGGCTACTGGAGTCGGCAGGAGTGTTATGTACGTCGGGAGCTTGGCGTTCCGGGTGCAGCAAACCAGTCCAACCTTGGTCCGTCCCACAGTCGAAACAGCCTGGAGGCTACCCACTGGGGTATTAGCCACTCCGTGTTCTGGAGACGGGGCCGTTCTGAAAAGGCGTTGCCAGACTGTTCCTCACCCCTTGAAGGTGGTGTGCAGTTAGCTCCACATTGTATTCCAGGCACCAAAGGAGGATTTGCTCCACTAGGACGGACAACCACCCCCCCCCCCCTCCTTGAAGGAGACCACCGCTGCGTTGCCTGTGCGAGCAGGACTCTGTGGTCTCGAACTACAGGTAGAAAGTGTGGTAGTGCTAAGTACACTACTCTCAGTTCGAGCCGGTTGATATGGTAGTCCTGAAACTAATGCGGAGCCATATCCTTGGGCTTGTTGGTCCAATAGATGTGCTCCCCAACCCTGGGGGGGGCATCTGTTACCAGAGTCATACCTGCGGCGAGTGGGTCCAAGGGGCCCCCCTGTCCGAGGTTGGCCAGTGTCGACCACCAGGGCAGGGCTTCCTTCATCTAGTTCCCATAGGAGAGCTCGGCGCTATAACAAGCGTTATACCGGGCGGCTGTGTAGTGCAGCCTGGGGAACAACCCTTTGAACTGAGGTCATCATTCCAATGATCCGCATTAGTTCTCGGAGGGACACTGAGGGAATGCTGACTAGGCATTCGGCTAGGCTGCTTAGCGCTAAGCAACACGCTTGATAAGCCAAGCTTACCTCTGTGTCAAAACTCCATGCCCAGGGACACCAACTGCCAGTTGGGTCAAGGGGGACTTGTCGATTTACTAACGAGCCCAACTGGTAAAGTAAATCTTGTGTTAGCCTCATGTGTTTGGCTATTAACCCCTTGGTTGTAACCAGTAGTCTGGGTACGGATTGAGGTGTACCGACATCTGGTGAAGCAGCAGCACTACCTGTTTTATCACTCGGGTGAACACGTAGGGCGCTGTGCCTAACCCAAACGGGAGGGCACCCACAATTAGAATACTTGGCTCAGCTGGGCAATTGGAAGAAGATGGCAACTCACTGGGTGCATCGGTATGTGTAGGTAGGCCCCACTTAAGTCTAGTGGGGCTAGCCAGTCCAAACGGTGGATGGAGAGGAGAACCCTGAATGGTGTCTCCATGTGGAACCGATCGAGGAGCACGTACTGATTCAATCTACCTTGGTCCAGAACTGGACGCCCGCCACTTGTAGATTTGGTACTACGAAAACATTTGGGTAAAGTCTGTACTTAGTTCCGGCTGATGTACCCTGTGTATGGCGCCTTTTCCCAGCAAACTGCTACTTCCTGTCTAATTGAGTCCCCTGGCAGTGCCCAACAGGGGAGACACTGACGGGGGGAAATGGAGATTTCTCCAAACCGGACTACACCGGCGCAATCTGTGTACGACAGGGATATGTGGCCATGTGTTCAGCAGTTGCAAGGGAGGGTGCTCCCTTTCCCCATGAGGTGAGTTCCCCAAGGCCTGAAGTAGTCACTAAGTTGTGACCTTGCCACTCGCCGAACACATGCCTGTTCCCCCCGGTTGCAGAGGTGAGCGTCAAACACGCTTCCCCCGCTGCCGGGTAGACATCCGCCCAGAGAGGGTGAGGAGCCACCACCTGGCTCTTTCCTCCCTGGGGGCGTGCCACTACTCTTCCCTCCCATGGAAGGGTATGAGCGCTTGCCTCCTGGCTGACTCTGGCTAGCGGACGGCGCCCTAGGGCGTTGTGTTTTCTGTGCTTGGGGCGCCCTCCGCTTACCCATGGCAGGTCCAACTGGCTAGCAGATTCGATCTGAACCCTCTGGTTCATTGCACTTCGAAGCTCCGAGACTACCCACCATTCCCTGAACAAAGAGGGTGGAGGATGTTCAGTCTGAGTCACTGAGGTGGGGACGTACCCCAGCTCAGCTTGTCGGCGAAAACACGTGCGTCTAAGGCCGCGTCTCGTAGCACAGTAGTGGCCCCGGCCAAGAGAGCCAGGCGACACTAGGGGGTGTCGCATGTAGATGTGCGGTGGCCCACCAGTAAAAATGTTGCCTGGTCTAGGAGGCTGGTGCGTTCTGCCTCCAAGGTCTCCAGAGTCCTGGGCACACACAGTAATGAGCTCAAGCAACTCTGCCCTCAGGGCTGGATGGGTCGTCTTTGATTGGCAAGGACACCCATGGAACGCAGCTAACCCCCCCCCCCCTTTGCCCGGTTTGCCAAATTCGTGGTACCGGAGTCTGGGGAAGGAGCCTTGGGGGAGTTTTGGTCTCATCCCACGCTATGGGGTCTGATCCCGAAACAACACCGACCGGGTAGCGTTTGGTCCAGCGGGAAGAGTTGCCTAATGTTATCCCCACCCAGGGGGCCTTAAGCATTACATCCTCCGCGGCTGACCAATGCCGCCCATCAACACCGTTTGTGTGCTCTGTGCCCCACTCCGCACTCAGACGGACAGGAATCGATGTGCCGACGGGGTGGCTTTGGATCCCGACGCTCGTGAAGCAACCTTAGGTGGTCGCCTTAGGATCAAGAGTGGGGGTATCTACATCGTATCACTGGGATCGATGATACTCTGCCTCACCCCAAAAGCGTGGCTCACCGAGTCATACAGATGGAAGATTCTGAGGGACCGCCCGGAGTACCGACTGTATCCGACACAAGTGAACTGCATCCTCTTTCACTTTAAATATGTGAGAGGGAGTGTGTTCGACTGTGCGTCTCAGGACAGGGTCGGTTCCCAATGGGGACGCCCCATGGGTCGGTACGAAGCGAGTCAAAACCCACAGCGGAAACCGGACACAAGGATAAATTCGTTACTGTTTTACCGTTACCGTGTGACGAACCCTAGCTGGCTGAAAGTAGGGGTGGTCAACGTGTGCCCTGCCCTGAAAGCCCTGCCCCGAGATCAGAGGCTTGGCTGCCAGCACCCCGTTGGCATTCAGTGCCCGAGGCTCCAGAGGAGGCCCGGTGCAATTAGCCTGAGCCTCTGCCTCCTCCCAAAATAGTGGGAGAGCCGCGGCTGGGAACAGGGGTTCCCCGGAAGAGACGTGATTGAATGCAAACATGCTTTCGTGTTTCTTCCTGCTTGCCCACAGCGGAGACAGGGCTAATCTGCACTGGCTCGGAAGGTTGCAAATGATTAGCTAGTTTGAATTTTGCATAACAATACTGACAATGAACGTGCATTCAACGCCACAAGTTTTTTTGTTTTTTTAGCCAATCAGAATTCATCTTCCGAGCCAGTGCAGATCAGCCGTGGAGACAGCTCGATTCGACTGCGTCTGATCTACCCAGCCTGCCAGGGATGCAATTGCCCCGACAGTCCTTCGACCAAAGCCTTCAACTCGAAGGCAAACCCGGCGCCGTGTGAGGAAGGGTCCACAAAGGGACCCGCAACGGGCCCCATAGGAGGAAAGCCTCCAGGGGCACAGCCTCCCTGCAGACTGTAAAATCGGGTAAATCATCGCCTGAAAAAACAGACTGTGAGGATGCCCTCCGATCAGCAGGGGAGATCGAGAAAAATATCGGTACCTCCACCGTCGGGCCTCTTGCTCGACGTCCCGGTACACGAAGCATCGTTAGCCGAGCGTGAGGACTTTCCACTCATGCAAAACACGCAACTCACTTTAACCGATTTGTTTACTGGACGCGCGACCTTGCTGTGACGCGGTCAGTATCAGTGACTTTGATGGCTCTGAAAAAAAATCTCAGGCCTCAGAACTCCAGTGAAAAAACACACACCTTCACGCAAAAAACTCTGAACCCCGCACGCAGCTACGACAAAGTACCATGCTAGAAACCCGGACAGGAAAAAGCAACAGAGCCAGGCAGAGCCGCTCAGAATCATTCCTCGACGAGGCGGAGAAAAATGAAGAGTGATTGACGGCTACCTATGGCGCTGCCATGTGGCCACGGTCACGTGGGTTCGTAATTGAACGCAGTGAATTTAATCTTTTTCTAAATATGTAGCTAATAATTTATTTTTCATATATACCAACCTGTAAATATAGTAATCCAAGCGTTGATAACAACTCTGGATTTTCGGGGTTGAATCTGAAAAGAAATATGAAATACCCGGTATGATCAGTCAGTTAATTGTGTTATTGAATGAGTAATGCATACAATGGATTGTAACTGATATATATCAATGAAGTTATCAATGTAGCAAAATGATTATCATAATTAAATCATTCAATCTCCTGTTCCTGTTTTGTTCTAAATTAGTTTGATTGACAAAAATACCAGTCAGATTAAGGAAACTATCTCTACATTTGCTTTGAGACAGGTCAAGTCAAATTCACTAAATTATAGTATGTTTTGAAGTGTTTTCACAATATTAAGGATTCAAAAAGCAAATTTTTGAAATAATGTCACTATAGAAACCAGTGTAAAAATGCCAATTTTGACCATTTTCCATGATTTTTTGGACTCAAACAACTGTCTGGTGACTCCAATTGATTTTCATTTTTGGTATCCTGATGGCATGAAGCCATAGTAATGAAGGTATGATGAACATGACATTTAATCTTTAATTCAACAAATCAACCCCATCAAATGACATAAGCTATAATAATAGTTTTTGGTAACTTTTTCCATATTTTTTTAATCCATTTAATATTGTACAGTTTTTGTCCTCTTAATATCAGTTGCAAAAAAGAATAAAGGTATTTTCACCCTGAAGCCAGAAAACAGTCCATGACAAAACAAGAAACACATCACTACAGGAATAGCCCATTTTCTTTTGTATAATCTGATAAAACCTATTTTTCAGAGGAGCCAGGACCTATGACTTACTCGACAGCTCTCTTATATACATCAATTGCCATCTCTAAATCTCCTTCCATTAAGAATATCTTGCCCAGCATGATAAATGACAAGTCATGGCGATTACATTGGATTGCATGTTTCAATGATTCCTTGGCCTGTCAATAAAAAACACACACACACTACATAATGAGACATCTAATGTATAGGCAGAATAAGATGATTATAAAAACAAAATCATTTCAAATGAGGGTGATCAAACAACTACTGGTAATGACATAAATTGAGAGAAGTAAATCACATAATATAACTGACACCTTTTTTCCCTTTTGATTTTGGTATGTCCATGGAGGATTTCAGTGAGTGATGTGTAAATATCACTGGAAAGTATTGCCCAAGTGTAATCTGTCTTATTCAAGTAGGAGGAATGTAGAAGACTAGAATTCATACAAGGATATCAAATATCAACTTTGAAATTATTAATTTAAAAAAAATAAAAACATTGTCTAACCTTGTCATACATTTTTAGATACATGTAACATATTCCCATATTATGTGACACTTCCCAGTCTCGCTGACTCAATTTGGCAGCTTCGTTGTACACATCTATTGCAGCTTTGTGTCTACCAAGTAAAAACCTGAAATGATTTGGATAACCGGTGATGAACGTACAATGAACCTAAATAACTACGAAGAGAAGTTAAAGAGAACTGTCACCAAGTGCATATTCTACTTGTTGATACGACTTTCTCCATTAAATAAATTTATTGAATAACAATGTGCTGTTCAGCCTAACAGCTCTCTGTAAGGTTTTAGGTATGCTGTTAATCCCTGATTATCTTTTACTACATAAATGTTGAAAAATGGCAAGTTTTCCACTGAAGATTTTCTAAAATCATTGATGTCTGAAAAGCTTTCTCTATTTGTCCCCCGACAAATACGACCATACAGGTCTTGAAGATCATGTATGTAGCCTGTAACATTTTCGTATGTACCTATCACAAAATGTATATACCAAAAATGAATTCTGGTGGTACAGTTGTATAATCTTGTTAATATAATTGAAAATTGACAAATAATAGTGCCATAGTATTAAATTATGAATAATATATAAGACTCAAGTTACTTACAGCGACCTTGCTACTTGTTTAAGATTATCAGTACTCTGTGAATTCAATAAACTACATGTCTGGAACAACTCTAACGATTCTTGTATTCTGCCTTCCATTCTCTTTATCAGACCCTGTACATACACTGCATATTCACACATTCCTTGTGTTTCTTCCAACTGCTCCTTTATCAAAGACTTTAAAAACAAAAACATACAAGTTATTTCTGGTCTGCCAGCTAGTACGGACATAGATGATAATATCCCAAATCAGTTAAGATTCTCACATTTCAAAAATTATGAAGGTGACGATGGAATGGATTGACACTAAAATAATGAAAATATGGATAATATTAAAAATAGAATGTTGCCTACCTTACATGTGTTGAATTCTTTTCTAACATAGTGGAGGTGAATCAACCAGTTTCTTCTTTCAAATATAGGTAATTCTGGAGCTAAACAGCAGAAACACAAATCAAACAGAACTGAATGGGTCTGTGTATGAAATTTTGCTCAAGTTTGATACTGTACTGTGTAGGGTAAAACTAACTCATAATGGCCTTATAAAACTGGTTGCTTCATTAAGGTAGTGACATGGGAAAAACAGTTTTACTATTATTAGGGGATTATCCAAAAGTATCTATGACAATATTTTTATTTTCATGCATAATTTTCTAATTAATATTTTCTTTATGTGCCTAATATGACTAAAGATATAGACTGTCAAATTGATCAAAATTAATTCAATAGACGTGTTCATGATCTTGTAGCATGCTTCGAAAAGCCAAAATTTGATTACCGCAAAAACATATTCAAATGTTTCTTCCTATTTTTCTGCAGATAAACAGCTCATTCAGCATACCATTTTGATCATTCTTTATAAATATACAAGTGTCTGATTAATGAGGACTGGTATTCTATGAAAAATTGGACGCCAACCTTTTTTAGTTTTGGGTTTGAGTGTTGGTTCTGGTATTTTGGTGGGTAACGATAGTAGGGCTTCATCTGCTTTCTTCTCTTCTTTACTCTGCAATGGAAAAAAACGATAATTCATTGTTATATTATAGAAAATGCATAAAGAAGACTGTCGCATACGACTTATTTACCACTTCCGTGTCACTGAGAATGTTCTAGAACCGTACTGTGTCTGGGTGGAATATTCTAGATTTTTTTTAGAAAATGGTTGAATACTGTAAAATGACTAATTTTCACTGGGTTTAAATTTCACTGATTTACCATTTCAGGCATATTCAGTGGGTTTTAAATTCACGGTTTCGTCATTTAGATAATGTGTTCTATGCTAAATTTTACATATTCACTGTGTTTTAATTTAGCGCATTTTTCCAGTCAGCGAAATAAGCTAAATTAAAACCCATAGTTGCTGTCGACATAGGAAGTAAAGTAAGCAAATAACACCGAATAAACCTACTTTACAGTAGGTAATAAAACACTGTAGGAGGCAATAGAAGGTAATGGAACATTCTAGAAATTGGTAGTAAGTTCCAGACTCATTATGTATGCTGCTGTAATGATCTATTTATAGACAGTGGGGTATATATAGGGGAGTTGATCAGCACTGAGTTCAGATCGGAGATCTCGTTGAATTGTATTGGAGTTTAAGTATCTAGTTATTGGAGTAGTGGAGTTTTACCGCGTTATTGTACTTGATGTTTGCAGAGTATAATAATACCAATACCAGTTGAAACCTCATCTGTTGGCTCCGTGTTCGTATTTTATCATTGCCGCCCGGGAAGTCTTTCTGTTACTGTTGCCATTTGAACCATCACACCTGTACTATACCAATTACGGTAATATTACGTTGCATGTGACAAAGGCTTAAGAAATACACACCTACGGAATATATCTACAAACAATAATCCAATAAGTATTTGGTTATTTTTTTTTTCTGCAGCTATCTCAGTCAGGCAGAAAATGACAAAAAATGTGATTTTTCAATATGAATAGATGTAATGTGTCACATAGATCCAGGGGTCCTTACTTGCATATGTTAATGTTAATAAAGAAGCATTAAAGTATAGGCCAGACCCTTATGTCAATGCTGTCATTTATACCATAATAGATTTAACAGCGGACCTACCATAGGTATAATTTATAGTGACCTCAGGGAAAGTGAGCTGGCTCTATAGATAACATGTGAAAATAGAGGAAAGAGTTTGAAGAAATCAATATACCAAGAGTTTGGAAATAGTGCACTTCTGGTGAATAAGCAGTGACATTTCGTTTCTGGTTTCACAAATTAAGAGAATCAAGACAGATCATTCATAATGAGTGTCATTTTCAGAAATGTTGTGGAATAATAAGGCAATTGTTTTCTGGACTGAAAAACTTTAAATGGTGTTGAGTGATATTAATCAGTGAAGACTCACAAATAGTGCATGTCATCAACATGAATCCAGCTTAACTTGTGCATGAAATAATGGCTAGATACCCACAGTTTATTTATATGCTCTGCGTTCTATGATTATGTCAGTTCTATAGTTCTATTTTTATTAAATCAGTTCAACTGCACTCACTTGTCAGGAACTGCCTGCTAAGAAATTGATAGTAATTACTCATAGTTCTTGGTAATTATTGGCAGTACTCCAGAAGGAGTACCTACACTTTATGTAAATTTGTTTAAAATTATGCTAATTTATTCAAGACATAGCAGTTTCTGTGCTCATGAATATTCATTAATTTGTGGATCAATACATTCTAAAAGGGGCGATATATTATTTTTGGGGGAAGAGTTAGAAAGGGGGATTAGCAATCCTTAGGGGGTCAATACAAAAGAAGGGACCCATTTGGAGAGCAGCATTGTTCCTCGTGTCTGTTGTTGCACGTGACCTGCAGCTGTCAACTGTGTTCGTACTTCGACGACTTCGACTGGCTTCTGTGTGAGGTAGTTTCTTGTGTTCTGTTTTTCTGACTTGAGTTTTTGATATACAGAAGTTGCTGTTTATGTTCTTTTTTTCTTTCATATCTTGTCTTGTAGGAGTGTCCTGTTCGTGATTCAAACTTGCAATCTTTGAGTTCCCAGCGCACTGTCTTGTCCACTGTACCACGAGTGTCTTCATGCAAATGATAGGATTTAAGTCCTACTTATAGGATCAATGTTTTCACTAGCATTCAAAAATCATACTAACCGTACTGGATTCGAACCAGCGATCTCTCACATTGCCTACATTGTACATATCCACTGAATCATATGGGTAGTCATGCAAATGAATAATTTGTTTTTATATTTAGCTTTATTGCAAATTAGTGTTTGCGAGAAAAGACTGGCAGGCATGAGAATTGAACCCGGGTCCTCCTGATCACTGTGTAGACAACTGAACCACAAGACCACAATTGATTGACTGGATGTGTTGGCATTTGAAAAGAGTATATAGTGTGCATATATATATATAGAAATACAACATATTTCTATTATTGAGTTACAATTGTCCAAAAAATTGCCAATTTTGTGTTTTTACTTGTGTAAGCTATATGCATGCCATAACCCGTTAGTGTACATCTTGCCAATTGGGTGTTTGCCATTTGTGTTGCCCATACCTGACCCGACCCTAACCCTAATGCCAAGACACGTTCCTGTTAATAATTCCGTTGCCCTTACCTGACCCGACCCTAACCCTAATGCCAA